CTGTAAAGAAATGGGAGCACTCGACTCCACAGCGTGTCTGGAGTGCTTGCAGCTCAACAGACAGCAGAATGGCTAACTGACAGAAGACTGTCACTAGCCTGATAGCAGAGATGCCCCTCCAACGGTTGGAGCCGAAGCCCTCGCCGTTGGGAAGTCTGCAGTGACTCTACCACCAATGGGAGTCTGCTGCTGAACTCACAATTGTCTTTTCCTTAGAAAAAAGGTGCAGATAATGTCAATTTAGAATGAAGAAGCATCCAGGAATAATCCTATTCAGAAGAGAAACCTTTCGACATGTCTGTCCAGGCTGAAGGACTGAGTCAAAAGCTGGGAAGCCCTAGCAACAAAGATGTGGCTTAATAACTTTGACCGACTCAGTCCAATCAACTGAACAGACAAGGACAACCCATTCCTGGATGCTGTTTCCACCACTATGGAGAATGAAAAAAATATTTCTCTGGATTCAGACAGATCAAGGATAGCAATTACATGCAGATAGTCCTCAATTTATGACAGTTCATTTAGTGATTGTTCGAAGTTAGAACAGTACTTTATTTTCAGATTTTCAGATTTCTATACCGCCCTTCTCCTTTCGGACTCAGGGCGGTGAACAGCCAAAATAAAACATTTGTACACAAAAGTTAAAATAGATTAAAATAATTAAATAAAGTTTGGCCCATAATTTAAAACATTTCAATTAAAATCAATATCAAATTTTAAAAACCAACCATAAAATCAGGACAGCCCGGCTAACTGAAAAAAGTAGGTTTTAAGGGCCCGACAAAAAGTCCGGAGGTCTGGGATCACTCGTATCTCTGGGGGTAGATTGTTCCAGAGGGTAGGTGCCACCACAGAGAAGGCTCTCCCCCTGGGGGTCACCAGCCGGCATTGTCTGGCTGACGGCACCCTGAGGAGGCCCTCTCTGTGGGAGCGAATTGGCCGGTGGGAGGCAATTGGTGGCAGAAGGCAGTCCCGTAAGTACCCCGGCCCTAAGCCATGGAGCGCTTTAAAGGTGATCACCAACACCTTGAAGCGCACCCGGAAGTCCACCGGAAGCCAATGCAGCTCGCGCAGGAGAGGAGTCACATGGGAGCGCCCCGTCGCTCCCATAATCCCCCGCGCGGCCGCATTCTGCACCAGTTGGAGCCTCCGGGTGCCCCCCAAGGGGAGACCCATGTAGAGAGTGTTACAATAGTCCAGACGAGAAGTGTATAGATGTCACTTTAAAAAGTGACATCTATACACTTAGACATCTGACCATTTTTCACACTTAACGACAGTTGTAGTATTCTTGTGGTAACATGATCAAAATTCAAATGCTTGCCAACTAACTTATATTTATGATAATTGCAGTTTCTTGGAGTCCTGTTTCACTCTTTTGTAATTTTTTGACAAGTAAAGTCAGATTCACTTAAAAACTGTGTTACTAACTTAATAATTGTGGTGATTACTTAACAGCTGTGGCAGAAAAGTTCGTAATATGGGGCAAAACCCCACAACTGTCTTACTTAACAACAGAACTGAGGACACAATCTAATATCCTGCTCAGGGCAGAAATTCAAATAAAAATTTCTTCTTCCTTTTCCTTTAAACCACTATTGCATGTCCTGCACTCTTGGACAATAGCAGGTCTTAAATAAGCAGGTCTTAAATAATGCTATCCTATCTGCCATCTATCTTTCCCAAAATTTCTGCAGTGCTTTCTCCTAAGACTTATTCTCTTTGTCATCTTTGTTGCCCTCTTTCCATCTCTCCCAATTGTTTGGTAATCAGTCATAAAATGTGTTACCTAGACCTGGACAAAAATTTTGATATAGGTCTAACCAATACAGAATAGAATGGAATTCACAAGCTACATTTATTGATGAAGCTTAAAATTGCATTTACCTTCTTTGATATCTTGACACACTTATGATTAATATTCAGTTTCTGAACAATCATAATTCCAAAACCTTTTCATCAGTATTATTACAAAATCAAGTGTACCTCCTTGTTTTCCTGTTACATACTTGATTTTTTTTCAAATAACCTTACATTTTGTTTCCATTATCTTTCATTTCTATTACCTATTCACTACCTAACCTAGCAGTATGATTCCAGGGAAGCCTTCCAACTATAGCTATAAATTCATGGGGCATATGTGAGCCAAATGCTTTATTACATGTGGCTGGTAAAGTTATAATGAGAAAAAGGCATGATTCATACTTCTAATATTGTGAAATATCATAGTCTTGCATGAATAGTACATTTTAAATTAAATAGCAGCTGATGTTTTCAGATATCAGCCAAAATGATTTTCATAGATTTCCTTTCAAAATTATAGAAAGACATGCTTTTTAAAATGTGAACTGTAAAATCAATGTAAAATAATACTGTAAGATCTGTTCACCTTTCGTCATAAATTAAAAATTAAATATAATACTAAAAGTTTTAATTTGTTAAAAAGCTAGGCTCTACTATTTTTTTAAAAAAGCACTTAAAAGAAGCAAATGACTTGAACCTAAATAAACCATGAATAATCTTGCAGTGTATTTTCTTTCTTCTTTTAAGTTATCAATATTTTTCTTTCAATTTTTTTATTAAAATCCCCAAAGTATCTTGAAAGTTATCCGACTATAAGTCCTCAACTTACAACCACAATTGAGCACAAAATTTGTTGTTAAGTGAGACATTTGTTAAGTGAGTTTTGCCCTATTTTCTGACTTTTCTTGCCACAGTTGTTAAGTGAATCATTTCAGTTGATAAATTAGTAACCTGGTGTTAAGAGAATCTGGCTTCCCTGTTCACTTTGCTTTTCCCCAAGGTCACAAAAGGTGATCACATTTTTTTTTCTACAACCTCTTCGGCCAAAGAGGTTGCAGAAAAAATTGCTTTCAGGAGCCTCTGACGATCAGGCAACTCAGCTGGGATCGCCAGAGGCTTTTAAAGGCATTTTTTTTCTACAACCTCTGCCCAGCTGAGCCGCACGATCATCAGAGCCTTTTTTTTTTTACTTTTAAAAGCATTTTTCGTCCGAAGAGGTTGTAGAAAAAATGCTTTTAAAAGTAAAAAAAAAAAAAAGCCTCTGATGAGGTGGGCGGGGTAAGCGAGCAGTGACCAGGCTGGGGACCGGTTTGGGGGCATGGCCAGCCAATGTTATTACCGGTTCTCTGAACTACTACTAATTTTTACTACCGGTTCTTGCGAACCGGTGCGAACCGGGAGCAACCCACCACTGATGGGGATGCTGCAAAGGCGGTAACTTTGAAAAATGGTCATAAGTCACATTTTTCAGTGTCACTGTAACTTTGAATGGTCACTAAATGAACCATTTTAAGTTGAGGACTACCTGTATTCACTTTTTCTTAATGATTTTCTCAGTCTGAATATCCACAATCTCTCAAAATTCTAGTGTTCCTCCTTTGAAAGAAATAGATATGAAACTATAGTTCTTTAGGGAAATAAACTCTAGTCCTCAGAAACAATCTTGAAATATACCATTATTGGAATCTAGTTAAATACTATTCTTATCCGCTTAAGATCTTCATATGATTCGGATATTTTTCTTTATATCAAGTCTGTATTCATTTCATCCCAAAAGGTGAAACTTTAAGCAGCATTTAGACAGCATGTAGGAACAGAGATTAATTCAGTCCAGGAAAAAAAAAGTAATTTATATAGCAGTGATGGCTAACCTTTTCTGGACTGAGTGGCGCGCAAATGCACATGCACCCAAAACCCCAAAATGCAATGTGTGCACGGCCCCTGTGCAAGCCCCGATCCCCAGCAATTGCACATGCACACACACCCCGCATGCCCCGTGCATGGGCGCCCCCTGCATGCACCCCCACACATGTGTGCGCACCCTCTGCAAGTGCAGCAGAGACCTGATGACTAGCTGACCTGCAGGAGGCACACACACGTGTGCAGCGGAGCTGAACTGGTGTGACGGCTCACGTGCCCACAGAGAGGGCACTGCATGCCACCTGTGGCAGATGTGCCATAGGTTTGCCATGACGGTTATATACTAACCCATCTCACACAAATGATTCTGGGTGGCTTAGAAGATTAAAAACAAACACCATTCCCCAAATATAATCCTTCCACATCCAAGGATAAGGTATTATTAACTATTAATAACCCATAGTGGCAGAACTCATTCTCCCCACCCCTATAAAAATGCCTGCAGGAACAGCAAAATCTTCAATGCCTTGTGAAAGGCTAACAAGGTTGGGCCATTATCCTTGTTAAGATCTAGTTTTTAGTGAAATATTCTAGTTTTCATGATTCAAAGGGCTATTGATCCTTAATAATTTTCTAACAATTCAGTAACGATGGAAATTAACTATATATGCAGAAAAAGAAATTAAAAGAAGAATACTATCTGCAAATCTTTCTCCATAGAATAAATATACTATTTAATGCTAAAAAAGCTTGAGACAAGATTGTGATTTTGCTGCATGCTGTATTCAACAACAATAACAAAGTTCATTAGTTTTGCTTGAAACTAGCAATGCAATCAGAACTCTTTACCTAATCATGCATGGTTTTATTATAAACCCAATTCTTCTCTGATTTCAGCCTAGATTATTTTCCTCCTTCCAAACATGTCAAATATTACACAATGTGGAAAATATTGGCATATATATTCTGGTCTTTGAGCGGCATGCCAGAGACTGTTCTCCAGAAAGTGGATAGGACCACAATAATTTCTAAACTAGAAATTATTTAATTTAATTTAATTCTAGTTACATTTAAGGGTATTTAAAATGACATATTAATATAGTTAATCTCTATATAATGTTATGCCTCTGTAAAACAATACAATTCAGGAGCATTTCCTGAGGTCCCTTAATAAGGTTTTGAAGGACAACCTGAAGTCTTGAGATCAAAGGCTTGCAGATTGCAAGGTGTCCATCCATTTTATTTATATATAGGAATTATATATAGTACAGAAAAATCTTTCTTAGATACATACATACATGCATACACACAAACACATATGCAATTAATAAGCTTACCACAGACAAAGAATTTGAAAGCATCGTTCCATCTTGGCCAAGCATATTAGAGACTGTGATTTCAGGTAGATCCATATTTTGTGGGTGGAATGGAAGCAGGCCATTATGGTTGATAGAGTGACACAGTGAAGGGTAACCAGATTCTGTGTCATTCAAATGCACTAGTGAATTGTCAGGTAATGAAGGTGGAGTGATGGGAGGTATGTTAAAATCTTCACTTTCAAGGCTTGGACCAGGAAAAGACTGTGGAAAGATGAAAGAAAAGTTTTAATTAAAGTACCATAAAAAGCAAAGAAATCCATTACTATTTCAAAGTGACAAAACACTTTTTCAAACACTGTAAGCAATATAAAGTTTATAAGCAAAATGAAGTTTATGCCTGGCATAATGTTAGGAAATAGTTCTTAACACACTTTAAAATACCTATCTATTGTATTAAGGCAATGAATGAGAAAATAGTTTAAAAGCTTTAATATTTTCACTGCTTCCATTAAGTAGAATTCTCTCCACCTCAGTGGCTAAATTTAAGGCTTCATTACAATTTTCTAAGAGCCTTCATGGGATTGAATAGGAGCTAGAGAAGTGGAATGCAATTTATAAAATTAATATTAGATCAAAAAGGCCTCCTAACACTCATTGCCACTCAAGAGAAGAAACAATACAAGTGGAGAAAATCTTGTTCTTAAGTGTTGTTCTATAATGCATAAAAGAATAAATTCAATTTGCTATATCCAGTGAAAATTAGCCTTCGATACAAAATGTATTATATGAAAATACAGCATTTCTGATTCTGCTTTTTTATGTTAATAAGAACAATCTTAATAGTGAATACTTATGTCCATCCACAATTATTGGAAGTGTTAACTTAACTAATCAGAATCTTTGGCCTTGGCCAAATCTAACTATTCTCTTAAGAGGAGCTGAGGGGCATGTTTTTCCTGAAAATAAGGATCAGTAGAGGCTATGGTAGTCTCTACTGATCCTCATTTTCAGGAAAGATATGCTTTCCTGAGTGGCATGTCTTTCCTGAAAATGAGGATCAGTAATGGCTATGGTAGCCTAAGATTGCTTGAAAAGGAGACATGATAGATAAATAAATAAATAAATAAATAAATAAATAAATAAATAAATAAATAATTTTATTTCTATACCGCCCTTCTCCCGAAGGACTCAGGGCGGTGTACAGCCTATTTAAAAAACACAGAAAACACGACAACAATTTAAAATTTAAAATCATTAAATAATTAGGCTCCAATTAAAATCCCAGAAATTTAAAATACCCCAATTTAAAACGTTATGTTAATAGCCCTGCCTGGCGGAACAACAGGGTCTTCAGAGCGCAGCGAAACACCCGGAGGTCGGAAATCTTTCGTATTTCGGGGGGCAGTTCATTCCACAGGGCTGGGGCTCCCACAGAGAAGGCCCTCCCCCTGGGTGTTGCCAGCCGACATAACTTGGCTGATGGCACCCGGAGGAGACCCTCTCTGTGGGAGCGGACTGGTCGGTGGGAGGCTATTGGTGGCAGAAGTCGGTCTCGAAGGTACCTGGGTCCTATGCCATGGAGCGCTTTAAAGGTGGTAACCAACACCTTGAATCGCACCCGGAAGACCACTGGGAGCCAGTGCAGCTCACGCAGGAAGGGTGTCACGTGGGCGCAACGGGTTGCACCCATAACCACCCGCGCGGCCGCATTCTGGACCAGTTGGAGCCTCCGAGTGCTCTTCAAGGGGAGCCCCATGTAGAGAGCATTACAATAGTCCAACCGGGAGGTGACAAGGGCGTGAGTGACCGTGCGCAAGGCGTCCCGATCCAGAAAGGGCTGCAACTGGCGAATCAGGCGAACCTGATAAAAGGCCCCCCTGGCCACGGCCGTCATGTGCTCTTCTAAAGACAGCCGTGCGTCCAGGAGGACACCCAGATTGCGAGCCCTCTCTGTGGGGGGCAAGGATTCACCCCCAATAGTCAGTGATGGCACCTGCTGACTATATCGGGGGGCCGGAAGCCACAGCTACTCGGTCTTGGAGGGGTTGAGTCTGAGCCTGTTCCTCCCCATCCAGGCCCGCACGGCCTCCAGGCAGCGGGACATCACATCAAGGGCATCGTTGGGGTGGTCTGGGTGGAGATGTACAGCTGAGTATCGTCAGCGTACAGATGACACTTCACCCCAAAACCACGGATGATCTCACCCAGTGGCTTCACATAAATGTTGAACAGGAGAGGCGAGAGGACCGACCCTTGCGGCACTCCCCATGCGAGATGCCTCGAGGTCGACCTCTGTCCCCCTGCCAACACAAACTGCGAGCGGTCGGAGAGGAAGGAGGAGAACCACCGCAAAACGGTGCCCCCTATTCCTAACCCCCTCAACCGCTGCAGCATGATACCATGGTCGATGGTATCAAAAGCCGCCGAGAGGTCTAATAGGACTAGGACAGAGGAGCAGCCCCTGTCCCGAGCCCTCCAGAGATCATCCACCAACGCGACCAATGCCGTTTCAGTGCTGTACCCCTGCCTGAAGTCCGACTGGTACGGGTCCAGATAGATAGCTTCATCCAGGGGAAGTTGTCGTGCCACCACGCTCTCAACAACCTTCGCTACAAAACGAAGGTTGGAGACTGGACGATAGTTGGCCAATTCAGCCGGGTCCAGGGAAGGCTTCTTGAGGAGGGGCCTCACTACCGCCTCTTTCAAGGCGGCAGGAAAGGCACCCTCACTCAGAGAAGCACTTATAATCCCCTGGAGCCAGCCTCGTGTAACCTCCCGGGAGGCCAGCACCCGCACCCGCGCCAAATGCAATGAGTCTTTATTTACATTTTTTACCAAAAATCATTAAAAGTTTTTCCCAAAATTTTACAAAAAATCATTAAAAGTTCTTCCCAAAATGGGATAACGACAACAACTTTATTGTCATCATACGTGTATACACAGTATACCCATACAACGAAATTCACTTAACACCCAAAGATCAGGTCCAACACACATAACAATCCCCAAACACGCTCCCACCCATCACAAATTCCCCACCCCTAATTAGGGCACGATCATTCCAATGCTCATCTCTGGCATACAACTGGAAATCCACTACTGTATATGCTCACAAACTCAACAGTGTTCTTACTTCACCTAATTTGCTGGTGTTTCCCTGGCTAAAAACCATCTCTAAAACTTTGCAAACAATTCTGGTAATTTCCAATAGTCCATTATTGCCCTCAATGAGCAGCATGAGCTATTTGTCTGCTTTTTAGGCAAACTAAGGACAAAGGTGGCCTTGGGCCAATCTATAGAAAATATCTCTGGAATAGAACCATAAATGATTCACATTGCATCATGAAAGTCAAGAATTGATCTTGAGACACCCATCCCCAAATTTCACCAGTATACTTTCTGGACAATAGAGCAATGTCAGCTGTGTAATAACTTGTGGAACTGCTTTCAGCTGAGGTAAGGCTTATCCAAATTATTGTGCTAGCTGCATCATGGCATTGTGTAGTTTGTTATTTGTATATCCATCTGTTACTGATGCATCATCAAACAAATCAGCCCAGAGTTCTCATTCATGGCACAAATGATCAAGCTCAAATTGCTCTATTATGGATACATTATGCAAAATCCTAGCTCTTTGGAAAAGGCTCTATTGCAAGCAAAACTGGAAAGAAAGAAAAGAAGAGAACGACCAGCAGCAAAGTGGATGGACTAAGTTCCAGTAGTCAGGAAGGCACCATCAGGAGACCTGAAAAAAATATGTTACGGATAGATCATCATAGAGAAAATCTATCTATGTGGTTGCTAGGACTAAAAAAATGGCATAATCAATTAATCAATCAATCAACCAACCAATCAATCTGCTATGGATGATGCTGTAACAATGCCTCAAAAACTGATTTTAGAGACAGTAGTTGCCTCAAATTTCTATCACCAAATTTTAGGTCTAGAGGGCTAGTTCCGATGTCTCTCTGATGGGACACTACAGAGGCATTCAGGATCGATGTCAGCCCTTCAAAATAGGCAAGGTCAAGAAATAGACACAGTAGCCATTCCAATGATTGCTCTTTATTGTTGTTAAGAAGAATAACAGAAACTTGAAAGCCTGTCCAAGTTTCTCTCTACTCCATCTTACATCAAATAAAATCAAGGTAAGGTTATTTTGACTTTCTTCCTTACACTGCCCTCTTTCAGGAATGAGTAACTTTTTAAAGTCCTGCTTAAATGGTTCACTCATTCCCCTCTCAATCCCAGAGCCAGGTCTACATTCCTTTTTAAATGCAAGCTAAGATAAAACAGTTTAAGATATAATGAGGGCAAAATAGATTGTATGCAAAGAAGTGCGTACATTGTTCAAACGAGTTATATTGTGCCTTTGCATATTACACAGCACGTACAAATATTTTATGCAAACTAATATAAAGACATTCCACCTAAATGTTGATTTCTCTGTTTTCAATTTCCTGCTGGCTGACAATATTAATTAAGCAGATGGTGAATGACTGACAGAACTGGAGTGATAATTTTCTAAATAATAGTGAACCAACAGCACCATGCTGGATGTCAACAAGACAAACGAACATTTCTAGAAAATTAGTTTGAATTTTCTTTTTCCCCTTTCCCCAATTTTTAGAGTAAATTATGTTCATTTTTGTTAACTATTTGTTCTTTAACAAACATTTGGCAAGTACTTCATTTCAGCAGAACTATATATTTTACTGCGTTAGCAGTATTGGTGTGGCAGCTAAGTAGAAGTTCTGGCTTTTTCTGCATGTTTACTGGAGCATGCCACAGTAATGTACCTTCTAATGCTCAGAAACATTTGCTATTTGCTTAGGTAAGGGATGTCAAACTCAAGGCCCAGGGGCCAGATTCGGCCCACGGAATACTTAGATCTGGCCTGTGGGGCCACCTGGAAACAGTGAAGGACTGGTCTGTAGTACCTCTGCCAATGAAAATGGAGCCCCCCCTGAGCTCCGTTTTTGTTGGCAGAAGGTTGCAGTAGGACATCGCAGCTGAAAACGGAGCTCGGGAACCTGTTTTCTCTGGCAGAGCGCTCTGACCACCATAGATGCCCCCAACATAAGTTATGTTGAGCTGCCTATGCCTACCCTGGCCATGCCCACCTGCCCCTGAGGTGAAATACAACCCTGATCTGGCCCTCAATGAAATTGAGTGTGACACCCCTGGCTTAGATCCTCTCATTTCCTATTCTATTTGGCTCTTGTCACATACAGATTATAGCTGAGAAGAAAACTGCATTG